GTCTAAGCCTAAACCCAAGAACTCACCTAATTGTATAATAAATTACTTAATGTTTCAATTTATGGATAAGTCTCAATTTCTCCAACTATCATAACTTTTATAGTATTCAAATAATGTGATACACCTAATATTTAATTACTTATCTCAATAAATTTAAACTTAAATTATAATGGAATAATATATAAAAATAATCTCAACATCAAACACCGATATACTCCCCGGCGTTAATATCACTACACTAGGATGTAATATTTTCTGCCTGAATGGAACTTATTACATTCATTAATAATCAATTATTGAAGGCATTATTATCCAATCATTGCCATCATCATGGTAATTATTAGATATTTGTCAATTTCCAGCCCCTCTTCAAATGTTAATCCCAATACGCTATCTCTAATTGTCCAACTATTACTGTTACCCAACTTTCGTCCTAATTTCTTTACACACCTATTAAATTGATGAAATTCATTCCCTCCAGCAAGCATTATTTACTTTGTCCAAAGAAATATTGTACTTAAAATATTAAACAAAAGGATATTCTTAAATTGACTTTATAAAATAATCATCTAAAGATCAAATAACATTTTTTATTTCACCGATAGTCATGCAACCTTCTCATCATAAATCTAACCAATACATTATTATTATATGAATTTATATAAGTAACAATCTCAACATATTGAAAGTTTGATAAGTTTCTCACCTGAAGCCCTCGTTGGTTTCTTCCTCTTTATTCACATCGCTTTCTATTATTCTACAAATTATCCTCTACCCTAATCTAATACACTAATTATAAGAGTTATAAAAGTGATCCACTATTAATTTTAATGTTATATTTTTTAACCACCAAGTACATTAATTATTAAATTTACCCCACTAATTCTATAACTATAGTTACATGTAGTAAAAAATAATCCATTTAAAATCTATCGAATGAGTCCTTTATCAATTAAAAATCTCTAGTATTCAAACGACCAAATGGGTCATTACATTAGATACCAATTTATCCATCGTTCGTCCGCGAACGATAAATTGAAGGCGAGGATAAGAAAGGGTACCTCATGTCTCAATGGTTCCTTAAAAATATTAGCACTCAAAGTTTCATATCAAAAATATCAAACCAACCGATTGGAGATCTACACCTTCTCTCATACAATGTCTCAAATGAGTCCATCCCACTGCTCTAGTGATAATTGTTGTTGTATGTAAACTTAACCAACAACAAATGTATTCTCAATAGCCATCAAAACTAATCGTATGCACATACGCAATATGTTCTTAAGGACCTAGACACAACCATTAGGTAAAATCTTATCTCACATAACCACAATAAAATCTTAAATCAATACTTATTCTAATCAGAAGAGAATCTAAATCAACCACCACATACTCATAATGCACAAACCATCATAGATCTTATCAATATTTTATTCTCACAACATAAACTTTCAACGAGGTTATGTTATATATTAAAAAATGACCTTTATACATAAGGTACTCATCAAGGGAAAATTAAACTTATCTAACCTCAAGAAGAGAATGATCAATTAATCATACATCGAGTGAACACCCAAGCATATATGACCTTTAACAACATTGTCAAAATGCTAGATTAGTAGCTATTATAACAAAACCTTAAGAATGACAAAACTATCATGGTCCTCACATTCCATCACACATAGCCAAAACATAATACCGATGATGAGATAAATCTTAAGTCTATCGAAAAATTATAAATTTCCATTGTAGCTCCCTTATAGATTCTCATAAGCAAACTAGTACATATACAACTACTCAAATACTTCAACTACACCAAGACAACACTATATATGTCATATCAAAAATAAACAAGGTGGAATAACTCTAAATATTTCTTCCGTAGTGTCCATATCAAACATTTTCATTCAACTAACTCTGTCTCCTTGATTTTCTAGCTACCACAATCACCAATTTAGTCCCTTTTATAATTACGCAAACACTTGATTTATCGAACCCCGCATCCACTAAAGTAAACACTCTTAATACTAACAAAACATCATAACCACATCAATCATCTACCTTAATCTCAAACCATAATTACTATCAAAGTATTTTTATTAAATACATATTCAAACTATAGCTATCTCTCTTTCTATTTAAGCATTTCATGACAAATATGAATTTCATACAAGGATAATAACACTAATTTAAAACTTAATGGAAAGAAAATTACCAAAAAATAAAAGGAACCAAAACATTGAAATTTAAAAGCATGAAAATAATTAATAAAAATGTATGATAAGTTATACACCAATAAAATAAGAGAGTTTTAAATATATGTAAATAATCAAAGAATAAAGGTAAATAATATTTTTATCATTAAGCTAAATAATATAATATTCAAAAATTAAGTCAAGTCATATAAAAGTTAATAAAGTGTCGTGCTAGAATCACGGGACTCGAGGGTGCCTACTACCTTTCCTTCGGTCAACATAATTTCTTACCCGATTTTTGATTT